ACCCAATTCCCTCCTCGTTCTTTCCCAAATTTGCATAATGCTAACTTTTCTAGTCAGGATCAAAAGCCGACTGCTGGTAGTCTTGCCTTGCTTTGTTATAAACCGGACGTACAAAGTGACGTCCTACCCTTCCCCTTAGGAAGGGAGGCTTGCCGCAGTGCAGTAAGAGGTACCTGAGGGGGAGAAAAAGGCCATGTCCATGGGATAGTATGTATTTTGTGCAAGAGTGGAGGAGCCGGCAGCAACAGCCAGAATGTACTGCGCCTCCTTCTTTATAATAAGATTATTCATTTCGACCGTAAAATACTTTTAAAATATTATACGTGTTCACAGGTGAGTAAGTATCCAAGACAAAAGAATTAACAAGCGTATTGTTCAGCTCATTATTTGTGTTTTAATGGCTAACTACAAAATCTCACAAAACGAAATGACACAGTGATGGAACTTTGCATAACGGACCTGCCTCATTTACAGAGTAGTCTGTAAAAGCGAAATTTCTAAACCCAACGTTTTTCCTTGTGAGTTTAGAGGACTGGTGCAGTTTGCTATGGAACTCGATATCACATACCACTTCCTCTAAATCTTCAGGAGCTTTCTTGCAGTAATGTCTGAGAAATGTGAACAGAATAATCACGACTTTCGCCACATCACAGTGCTTTCGTTTCTCCAAGGGCCCCAGTATCCTTTTTCTTGTGCAACTTCCATCGCCTTGGGATCCGGGGGTTTCTTTAAAGGAGGCACCAGCGCCTTCATGTAATATTGCACTCTATCTTGCAATTTCTTCACCACATCCGGGAGCTTCGCACTGAGGTCAACGTGCTCAGTTGGGTCAGCGGTAATGTTAAAAAGCACAACTTTTATTGTGGAATCAACACTCAGATTCTGTCAAGAAAATTACAAAATAAAAAGAGGGTAATCATGCATTGCTCTCCAGCAATACTGACAGAAGCGTATGCAATCACAAACAAGCCAAAATGTCAATTTTAAAGTGGATTATTATTGGTGAAAACAATACAGATACACAATAACTGTTTTAAAATTTCACATCCTTTGGTTCTAATCAAGTAATAGGATGTAGGGCCCACATGACTTCATATTCAAAGACGTTGGTAGTTTATTTGCTGTCCATCAAAAACATATTATATTTGCATCATATCCAACGCATGTAAATGAAATGGACGAAAGACATTTTGGTCAATTCTTGACTGATAAAACCTAGAATATTAAAAAAAAAAGACTTAATATTAAAAACATGACCATTGTACCTGATCCAACCACTGGTATTCAGGAGATAATTCTGGAGGCTTATACCACGTCAAATTGGGCACACTCATCAAGAGCTTCATGTCATCAACACGAATTGCAATCCCCTCATAATTGTCAGTTAATTCATTGTCCACACCAGAGCTTGGTGCTAAATCAATGTTGTGCAGAATCTCTGTTCTTGGCGAAGGAGCACCTTCAGATATGGTGTGCCATATGTTGAAACCATCCAGTGGAGGAACAGAAGAGTCTTTCTCTGTAATCCCTTCAAAAGTTGAGAAAATTGTTGAAATAAAATCATGCTATTTTTCACAATACTAATAACATCAAATTGCAAAACCATCCATGCGTTACTTAAATATAGTGTTGTAAATAAATTGCTTTCTTCAGCATATCTGCACAGAATTCTATCTTGAGAAAGTTAAGTGAATGAAAATTCTTAAGAAAATTATGATTTGGTGATCAAGATGCACTAAGTAGCTCAACTGGCCAAGATACATTCCCTGCGTAGTCTCCTCTTGTCGACACCATCTTGAATTTTGCACACGAGATTGAACTGGTCTGCCAGATGTTTTCAAACTTGAGATCGAAAGCTCACACATGCACAACCTATAATAGTGTCCCTTTAGCATAATACATTTGTGGGTTATAAATTTTTTGTTGGGTGAAAATC